GTGAGTCTCAATTATTTTATTCATGGCTATTTTTCGTTGTAAGTCTTTCATTTTAAGTATTTAATATTTCCCTCAATCTTTTTATTTTAAATTATGGCTTTGTACTTACCATTCTTTTAGGTGCTAATTATGTGTTGGTACTAACTCATTTACTTAAAAATACACTTATACTCAAAATTAACTTTGTTGGAGATAATTGCTTTGCACTATAGAGGTTATTTCAGTAATATTCCCCCTTTTATACGTTTTTTATGGTTATATTTAATGGATTCGGTTTTTTTCCAGATAGAAAGTGCTTTCATAATTAAATTTTAATAAACAGTTTAACTTTCAATCTTAGTAAATGTAGGAAGACACTTGTAAGACATATATTATTTATTATTGTTCTTAAAGCCTCTTATTATGGTACATCAGAATGTTTTATGCCTTTTGTTCTTAGTTGAATATCAATTATTTCATAGCTTTTGTTAAACCAATTTATTTTTTCAGTAATATTTGCATCCTGAATGATTCTTTTCAAAATTTATCTAAACAGTGAGCTGTGCATACTCATGATGAATTTATAGTTTAAACTTTTTAGCTTGAATGGTTTTATTTTTGAATAGAAAAAACATTTACATGGTTTAAAATATTTCCCTTCCACCTCCAATATCAAGCCACTTAATACACTTTCTTGAATATTTCACATATTGCAATACCGTGGTTATTTTTCTGGAGATATTTTCTTCGTATACAAATAAACTGCCCTCTCCTACTTTAATCCGTAATATTTATTCTGCTTTTCACCTTGTTTTCTTCAATCAATTTATCTTGGTGATCATGACATATCATTACTTAAGGGGATTCTCATATTTTTTCCCAGATCTATGGTGTCCCATTTTGTGGATATATCATTATTTTTTTCCTTTAACATCAACATTAAGTGGAACAATGATTAGCTTTTGTCGAAGTTGCATTTTTAAAATTTACAAATGATTATGTTGGTGAGAAGTCATTGTGAAATCTCATAATAAGGAAAATCTCAACATTTTCTAATTTAAAATTTTGGTACTGCCCTGGTCAGTGTGGCTGAGTTGTTTGGGCATCTTCCTGTGCACCAAGTGCACCAAAAAGTTGCAGGGCCTGCAGGAGGCAGCTGATTGATGTTTCTCTCTCCCTCGCCCTTCTTCTCTTTCTAAAAATCAATTTTAAATTTTTTTTAAAAATTTGGTACTTATGGTTGCTTTTTTATTTTCCAATTAAAAAATAAGTGCACCATGATACAAACTTCCCTCTGGTGTATAACAAAGCTGTACATTTGAATCTACCATAGCAAGGGTGCTCTCCATCTCAAATACAGAGAATTGTTTTTCTACATTTGTTGAAAAAATAATGTGGGTTCAGCAGGTAGTTAATATTTCACATTTCATATGATAAAATGTCAGTTCCCCTTATTATTGCTTTGTCTATTTCTTGCATTCTCACATGTATTTAATTTTATAAATACACTTGCATCATACTATTCAAATATTTCTAATGCCCCATTACTTTGGGGAAACCCTAGAAACTGAGTTCTCACCACTGTGTAAACTTGTGGTTAGCAACTGGCAGATATTTAAAAGTCAAGTTTTAAAATAGAAATTCTTTGATTTATATTATAACTGAAATTTTTCTTTGCTGGAAGAGGAAGCTACTCATAGATTGACTAAACCATTTTTTCTGTACATAATCTCCCTTAACTAGAATGAACTATTTTTTATAAGCAAATGGACAAATATATGAGCTGTTTCTCATAAGAGGTTTAGCATTTTCCTTTTCCATATTGATTTATTTTACATAAAGGATTTTAGTAACATTGTATATTTTTCTATTAAAGCCAATAAAAAGAATTATTATAACTCTTCCATTTAATTGGATTATATTATAAGCTTTCTGGAAATTGCTAGGAACTGCAATGGAAAGAGATTTGATACTTAACTTTAATTAATTAGAAAGTTGAGATTTGAAGACTCTCTTCATTTAAGGCAAAATTTGTGAAACACCTTAACCTCTGTAGAAAAACTTCAATAATAAGGCTAAAGGTCAATATATTTTTTGTCAAGGCTTAATCTTCCTGCAAGCAAAGGAACTTCTTCTTTTGAGATTATAATTGGTTAGCAAACGAACTCTTTGTTTGCAAAAAAAAAACAACAACAAAACTGCAATAGAAAGTCAGTGATAAGGACCACTACATAGATCTAGTAACCTATTATTGTAAGGTGTAACTTATTGGAGGGAGTTTTGATTACAGTTGTCTGTGAGGATTTCCCAAGTACATCAGAATTTTGAAGAAGAGTGTGTGTTGGCATGTGTCTACTGGAAAAGTCTCTTTTTGTGACTGATTTCTACTTTTGAGCAAGAGTTTAATCACCTCCAGTTGATGACATTAAGAATGAATTCATGGTGAAATTGAAATTTGGGCTTTACTTTAATATGAAGGTAACATTTTTATAGGTAAAGATGGAGGTAATTTTATGAAAACAGCTTGAACAAAGATTGCCTTGAAGAAGAAAAGTAAGTGATCTATATTGTATGCAAAATAGAATTTACAGTGGGGAGTAATTGAAAATAACACTGGAAAAGTTAGCTTGTGATCACATATCAGGTCATGTCAAAGTGATTGTTGTTTCTTGGCATTTTTGAGTTCAGTGAAATTCAATAAACGCTGTAGTAATGAAGATAAATATGGTGGTATGTGGAAAAAAAATGGACTGTAGGTAGACTTTGAATAGGGCAGGCAAGGGAGAAGATGTAATAGAAAATTCATATTGGTGACATGGAGAATGTTCATGCCATTAAAATAAAATGAGGATTTCAAGGGTTGAATTTGGGATTATTAATGACTTCTCTTCATAATCTTCAAATTACAATAAAATTATTTTCTAGGAGTCATGAGCATGTATGGGTGAAAATGACCATTAGAAATGAGAGAAGATGTGGGTTTGGGGATACCTTCAGTAAAACTCTGAAACATTGAAAGTGGATGAGAATAGTTAAAGGAAGCATATAAAAGGTTGAGATTGAGAAGAAGTGAGATCATTCGGGAGCAGCTGAAGGATCACAGCATCAAACAACAATGGGCAGAAATTTCACTAGAATTATAGAGAAGTATGTGAAGGAAAATGTTTTAAGGGGGAGACCCAATATAAATTGCAGAGAAATTTACAAATGTAAAGAATATAAGCTAAAATATTTATCTTCCATTATTAAATAAAAGAAATATCCATAGTAGTATTCGAAATTCTAAACAAAGAAAGAATGGGCTTCAATAATCTATAAGGTTTTAAAATTTTGGATAACATTTGTTAATTTAAAATTACATTCTTCCCCCAGAGCAGAATATAACAGCAAGGCCTGTGACAGAAATATATGCAAATGCTTTTTCTCTACATAAAAAGTGTAGGATAGTTTGCATTTCTAGTTCCCAAACCTAGTTCCAATCACATTTAAATTTTCTAAATGGGTTGATAACAGTACCTGATTTATTGGAAGAAAAGTTGTTTCACTATGAATAGTTGATCCCTTACCCTACTTTAAATTATAAAATACTTTAGGCAAGATGAAACCGACCCTGAAAATTACAAATATGAGGAGCTTTACTATTAAAGTAAGGCAAACGAAGACTTTTTAAAAAAAAACTTCAACTATAGCACAGAGCGGTTAAATGAATTCGTTTCTTACCCCTTGGAACCGCATGATGTCGCTGTCCACCATGAATTGCATCTCGCTGTTATTCCAACACACTTCCTCCAATTACTGCACCGCTCCCCCAGGGCTGGATGATGGCGGGCGCAGAAGATTTGGATTAACTGACTGGATCGTACAATATTTCATTTCAATGCCCACAGAAGACCTTCTGACGGAAATAAAACAACAAGAATTTGACATGGTTATTACCCCGGAAGGCCGACTGGGATCCCGGCGCCTGCTGCTCTCGCTTCTGCTCCTCGCAGCCTGGGAAACGGGGAGCGGCCAGGTCCGCTACTCGGTCCCCGAGGAGGCCAAGCACGGCGCCTTCGTGGGCCGCATCGCGCAGGACCTGGGGCTGGAGCTGGCGGAGCTGGTGCCGCGCCTGTTCCG